TTTTTTTTTTTTTGTCCTGTTGTCCTCATTTACAGTAGTAATTTGTTTGCTAAAAAACTCTTCATATTGACGGAAAAGATGGGGAAAGAGGAGGAAGGGGGGAGAGAGGGAGGAGGAAAGAGAAGAACAAAAAAAAAAAAATAGTTATTCATCCTGTTTATTCCAAGTAAAAATTATTGTTGACTATTTATTAGGTGAATATTTTATTTGCTTTCTGCGTATACAAAAATTTTTTTTACCAAAGATTCTGAATTTTGCTTTCTTTTGCTTTTAGCATTGCTAAGGAAAAGCAGGAGAAGAGTTCAACTGAAAGAAAAGTTGATGAGAGGGTAAAATGGGAAACAGAGTTTCTCCTCCTGATTTTTCCTTGCAAAATGAAAAAAAAAAAAGAAAGAAAGAAAAAAGAGAAGACAAGAGTTTTTCCCACCCTCAAAATTGAAATTGATAAGTGTTATACAGGCGGAGTGGTTAAATTAAAAAAAGCATGTCGTTTTCACTCCGTTTCCTCTGCTAAATACTCAATAAAGTTCTCATAATTATGGAGTGATAGTCGTCCAAATACCATCAGTTTGTTGCTACCGCTACTGCTGCTGCTGCTGGCGCTATTGCTGTTTTCGTCATCGTCAACGTCGTTGTTGCTGATGCTGTTTAATGGAATCAAATTAGCTGAACCAAATTTTGTTTTCTTAACAAATTTTAGAATATAGTAGCATTTTGCTGTAATGAAATCCGTTGAATAATGAATGTAAATCCGTTTTAAGGGTTACCGGCTTGAAAAATGGCAAACAGTTGTTATCGCACCTAACCATTACTTCATTGACAATGTTGCATGCTAATGTTCCGAAACTTATGCGGGCAATAATTTGATGACAGCAAAAAAAAGAAGCCGCATAAGCGATGAAAATTAGTATTGGGAAAGAAAAAATGGATGCTTAAACATTGAAAAATAATTAAGAACAAAGCGCCTTTTTATCGTCTTTATCCTTTTTTTTTTGATCCATCGAAATGTTGGTTGGATGACATTGATCCAAAGATCGTCCGTCAAAGTACTATAAAATCCGGTTACCATAAATTGGTTTTGCCAATTCCACCGTAAAATTTGAACAACAAACTGAGCGCAACACGAGGATAAAGAAGTCTCTGATTTTCCGAGTTTAATAGTCAGCTATAACTGTTCTTCTCACCTGTCACGTGGGAAAAAGGCACAAAAGTCAAAATCGCTCGTCCCAAAAGATGGTTTAACTGCTGCTTGACGGTTTGATAAATTTCAGATGTCTTAAGAATAGAATGTTTTTTTTTACAAATGATAACTCGCATTTAGCAAATAAAAATCAAAGTAACCTATATCCCACTGCAGGAAGCTATAAAAGTTCGAAAAACATGACTCAGTTGCTGCAACGGACTAAGCGCCTCCTACTGCAAATAACGAGCCGGTTTGGGTAAACCGGTTGCTCTAGGTAGCTGTCCAATTGAGCACCCTTACACCAAGCAGCACAGTCTTTGTTGGCAAAAAATTCTTTCATTTGGCCTAACTATTTTTATCGCCAACCGCAGAAGTTTGCAGTAGTCGATGTTTAGCAAAACTGTGCTGTTTATATTCGTCATCTGCAACGATTATTCCTTACTTTCACAATATTTTTTTGCTAAAAAATCGGTATAACTTCAGTAGAATTTCACTTTTGAATCATTTACATTCAAGGGCTATATTTCATCCTTTTTTTTGTGTTTTTTGCCACTTCAAATGACGATAAAGATTTTGTTGAGAAGTCAGTCTTTGGTGACTGTTTTGCTGGGTTATTTGTTGTTTTTATTATGCACTTATCCGTTACGCAATAACAAACAAACGTTGGTGAAGTTGCCATCGTGGGAATTCGTTGTTTTCAGCCGGATGATGCGTACTGAGATAGTTGATTTTCGAAAAACATTGATCAACAAATGCCGTGGTTGCTGCTGCCATCACTGCTACTGCCGCTATTACTCTTTGATGTTAGTTGCCAGCTGCGACTGAAAAAATAGTGCTTCTTGGCAATTTTCCAATCGTCGTGATACCCTTCAACAGTAAACTCCGGCAATTTTTCGGCTATCAGCAGGCCCTTTAGAGCGTAAGAATCTAAAAACCGATCCAACTAGCTATGGTTTTGCAGCTTTGGCTTGTGAATGCTTCGGAACATTTACTAGCACTGTATTTCCGTACCCTTTTTTTTGTAGCCTTCGAAAAACTTTTGTTGCAAGTTTTGCTTCTGAGATTTCTTCCTCTCCGTCAACGCATTCCATTATGAGCAGTTTTTCCAGCAGTTTCAAGCACTTTTTTTCCTATTTCTCCCTGACGGAACGTTGTTGTACTTAATTTTTTTAAACCGGACTAAAAACTTTTCACTTTTAAATTCAACCCAGACTAGCTGACTGGAAATTTGGAGCCACATATTCAATGGAATTTGTACATTAAATCATCATTAAACTTTTCGTCCATTAAAAAGATTACTGTACTTGCGACACATTATTATGCAATTTCAGCAGCAATGACGCTGAAATAAGGTGGATGATTTGGAGTTGGAAGCTAGACAGAGGATAGACGAGGACTAGGAAAAAAAGGTTCCAGGCATTGGGTGAGGGGAGGGGAGGAGAAAGGGGGGTGAACAGTTGGAGAAGAGAGAGACAGAGGAATTTATGGAAATGTTAGAATCGGTCAACAGCTTTTGCACTTCGTGGCATTTGCACTTCAAACAAAATTACTTTATACTAGCGTATGTGCATGTGTGTTAGTGTTTAGATGTTTAGTGTGATGCTTAGACTAAGTTAGTTTCAGCTACATAGCTTCAAGGTAATCAATTCTAAGATAAAGAAAAAATTAAAGAAATAAGCCCCAAGACGAGGCGAAAAGTTAGAGAAAAGAATGGGAAGAAGTAACTGAAATTGCTTTTTTGACAGCGTAATACAATAAAGCTACAGACATTTTTATTTTTATGTAAATAATTCGATTGCCTTAAAGTTTCTTCTTTTTTTTATTTAATCATTCATTCTTACTACTTTTTTTCTTCCTTAATCTTTATCTTTTTCCCTGTTAATATGCCTTCTTTTTTTTTTTTTAAGTGCTTATTGCCGTCCACAATATGCTTCAATTACAACCCCTAGTCGATCACTTCATTCTCCACACAAGTTGATCATGTATTTCTTCGAAGGTGGCAAGAACTGTTCTGCAACATGCCGTCTGTTACAGATGCTGACCAGGGCATCCTGGGAGGGGGTTCAAAGAGGTGCTTCGAAGGGCAAGTAGAATACAGAGGTACAAGGAGACTGTTAAAGGAGAAGGGGGAGGGGGAGTAAAGAAGCACAGTAACCATCGAAACAGTGAGCAAACCACTTTCTAGTTCAAGTGATCAACATTTAACATCTTCTTTGTTCCTCCTATTTATTTTTATCATTATTATTGTTACTATTTTTATTTTATTTTTATTATTGTTACTACTGTTATGATTATGTTTAAGAACCTTTTTGTTTTTTTTTTATTCAGTTCTATTGTTTTTACTGTTACCAACAGGTTAGATTATTGCCAAAGCTTGAATGGATAAAACGCGGA